ACAGAATTCTTCTTCACACCTCAAATGTGCCATATGGGCTTCTACTCCCTTGGAATCCAGTGTGTGCAGCCATTAAGGGCTTCTGTTTAACAGAAGTTACTCTGGGGACTTAGTAGGCAATCTGCAAGGCTAAGTAAGCTAAAAGCCTTTACTCTCTCAAATCAAAGAGTTATTTTCTATCAGGTAAGGCCCCCTCTTCTTATCAGGCATTTTGGCAGCCTCTGGCAGCCTCGAGAGAGCTTTACCTGCCTAGTGGGCTGAGCAGTGGAGAGCCTGAATCCTCCTTCTCTAATAGTTTTTTCTGCATGTACTTAATGAATGTTGTGACCGGGGCTGGATATACTGAGACGCTGGAGGAAAGGGAATCTGCACCAAGAACTCTGGATTTTGTAACCCCCTTGGATCAAGAATCTGAGTTCTGTCAATATACATTTTTTATTTATTGTTACAGTTGCACAGAATATGGACATTAGCATATAGCTCATGCTACAGATGTTCTCCATTTTGCTCCAGAATGCAAGACCTCCTGGCTTTTTCAACTAGGAATAGGAGCTAAACTTGCACTGAACTATTCTTCTGAGGCTTGTAGAATGAGCTCTGGTATTTGTTTTCATGCATACTCTAGTTTGAACTTCTCTCTCCTGAAAACATCAGTTTGGCTCTTTGGCACTTCAGTTGAAATGAAAGCATGCTTTAACTTCCAGCACCAGAGCTGGCAAACCACACATTGCTTGGCCCCAAATTGTGAGGTGCAAGACTTCCAAAGTGGCACATTTTATGTTGACCATGACAGTGTGGCTGGCTGAGAGTAGTGATTCCTATCTGCAGTCTTACTCACTGCTGATCACCTTCTTCTCAAGCTTCTGCAGCCCCTCATTTGTCTGTCAGGACTGGTCGAAATACAGTACCAACACTAAATTTCCAGTCTCAGAAAGCACGGGACTTTTGAAACACCAAGCACGGTCCCTTAAATTCTAGTACTTCCCCATTGTTCTTGGCAGCCCCTTTCCCCCACTCCTGTGGGGTTTCAGTGCCATTGTAGGAATGGGTGGGTAAGTGTGCTTCCTCTCCATTAATCCTAGCCAATCAGGGATCATGTAGTCATGCCACATAGCACCTCATAGCCAGATTAGCAAAGGTAAACTTAAGCCAATTATTAGCTAGGGAGAGACGTTGTTTTGAACACTGGGGCGCTTGCTGTTTTTCTTTGTGGTAATTTCTTTGGCAGAGCATCATGAGAGCAAGAATTCAGTCCTCTGTCCATGTTGCAGCGCTTTCAGCTAATCGTGTGCACCTCTTTCTGACACTGCTAGCCGTGCCAGCCTGGGTTTAAGCATCTCATCAATGCCCTAATTACAAAAGGAGAGTGCTTCCAAGAGGGGGAATGAAATGCCTCCCATCTTGCCTTCGCTTGGCTTGGCTTTGCATGGACCCGAGATGGCACTGCTGAAATTGGCAATGCAACATTAGAGAAAGTATGAGTGTAGCTTCCCCTTGTGAGGTAATTAGCTTTCTGTCTGCCTGTATTAACTAAACGAGTGTGTGTTCTTCTAAAGCATGTTTATGACGGCTCTTGGCTTGTTTTGCAACCCATCTTCATGCCCTGTACAGAGGTCTGTTTTCAATTCCTTTAGCATCTGTCTTTCACTGCTTTATGTTCTGCGTGAAATTCCATGTGCCTGCCCTTCCCCCTTGTAGCTTTCAAAACTCAAGGATGTCTTAGCTAGCCTCTTGAACTTGTTCACCCCCTTATAGCACTAATATGTGACCAATAACATCTACCTTTATGGCAATCCTCTTGTGTTCCTGGATATTCTTCTCCCTAGTTTTAGTCTTCAAAGTGAATAGGTCAAGATGGCAAATAATTAATTTGCTCGGTATCCAGAATGGCCATTCTTCTGTGCCCATGTCGCCTTGTTGTCAAATGATTCAGCTCATGGTAAGGCAGCCATGTGGAGGGGATATAACTTGTCCCTACTACCACCTCCACGCTCTTTTTGGGAGAGGGTTGCTGGCTGGATGTAGCTGCTGGTTCTTTTTTTACCTACTTATTTATTTACTTCTAGTCCTCATGACTTCAGGGTAACTAAGAAAATATCAACAGAGTAAGAAGTACTATTGAGGCTTGCTCATAATTTGGATCACTTGGAGTCTGCTGCAGCAGACTTTTTTTTCTGTATGGGCAACTGGGTATAAATGAAAACCATTTTGTTGGATGTTGAACCCTTGTAAAGAATCTCAATTTTGAGTATTGTGCAGGTATTAAACGAGAAAACAGGCTCCACCTGAAGGCTTGCAGTGTAACAGACATGATGCAAAACAGAAAACAAATGAGGTGGAAGATAGGAAGAAAGCCAACACTGCAGTAGCTGCTCTTTCTGTGGTCAGCGTATGGGACCAGATTGCTCTCCCTCGTCCCATTAAGGAGTTTTCCTGAGGTTTGGCATGGGGCAGCGGTGTGGCAGTTGTGGTCAGAAATAGCGGCACCTCTTGTGCACATGCAATGTGGAAGGCAAGTTAGGACCATCTTGACTTTTGCCTGCACCTCCCCTAATCCTTGATCATTAGCCATTGGCCATTAAGATTTTTGGAAGCTGGGGTCCACAATATCTGTATCGTGCCAGGCTGCCTCTACTGTGCTACAGGATTTGTGACACAGGTTGAGAACAATTGCTGAGCCTGCAATCCTATGCTACTTACTTGTGAGTAAGCCTCACTGAAATCAGTGGAACTTGCTTCTGAGTTGGTATGTGCAGGATTGCACTGTTGGTCAGTAGCAGAATGGAAAGACACAGCAATATGCAGCCAAATTGTCAGATGGGAATTTTCTCAACCAACAGTTCTTCAGCATATTTCAGAATGTGTCTTGTATCAACTAAGTTGTGTGTCTCTGCTTCAGAATTCATGCTACTTCATTCTTTTGCCTTGTGAAATAAAGGAAGGTAGACTGGTTTGGTGGCATAATTACTTGTTACAAATCCACATGGGTTACTGATTTACTTTGCTTTCCAGAAGGAATTTGAGCATTTATTCTAATAATTTTTCAGTGATCCTGAAGCCTAAATCCCTTGATACTAACCTGTCCATGTGCATTTTTCTACTAACCCATGGTGTGTGTCATTGCCCTTTTGAAAAAGACTGTGTTGGGATTTCATTGATACCTACAGCTGTGCATAAATAGCTTCTGTGGAGTGACTTGGATCACTTTCTGGTATTGGGCTACTCCCTTGATCCATTAAAAGAAGCTTGATGAGAATACAGGAAATTGGAGTAGGGGTCACTGCAAGATTATTGGAGTGGGGAGTCCCATCTTTCCTAATTGAAACTGCTTTTCTTAGTTGTCTACAAGTCAGTGGAACATATTGCTTCAATCTCTGATTTCATTCCTGAAAGAACCCTTTCTTTTTTCAAAAATTAAACACATTAAGACTGTGTGTACAATTTCAAGAAATACTTTTTTAAAAAAGCAAACAGGAAAGCATTAGTAAAGTGCACTTCTGTGCACAGCTAAGGAACCAATATGGTTTTGCTTTCTTTTAAGGTTTGTACAGTAAACAGGAACTGTTCATATATTCCTTTCCCCTACTAAGAGAACATTTATAACAGTGCTTTGGGCATGGTGCATGAAGAGACTTGAGTTCATGACAAGTGGAGGCCCTGGCCCTGGCCAGTAGGTGCTCGTAACAGTCTACTGGTCTATTGCAGCAGTGGTGGTAGTGTGGCTAAGACCAAGGCCAGCTTTTTCCCCACTTGAAATAATGCAGATATCTGCAAAGCTTTCTTGCTCATGGCAGGATCAAAATGGGGGTGACAACAGTGGGGCAGAAGGGAAATGATAACATGACTTGCTGGAAGTCCCTGAAGAACTAACTCAGCCAGAGGATCTGTGAGCATGTCGTGAGCAGAGCTGGTTAGAGCCGGGGGTCAGACTAGATGGCCTGACTTGCCATCTAGTCTGACTCGCTCGGTTTCTATGTTTCTACGTTCCAAAGGCATCCTTAGCATTTGCACTGGCAAAGTCTTGCCTTCTAGGGACATAAGCCTAATCTCATGGTTTGGGTAGGCTTGGTGTTGATTTTTGAACCCTTCCTTGGTTACCGATCTCCATGCCCTATTTCATATGTCAAGTCTGCAGGGAAAGCTAAATGTGAACTGGGAGCACTGGAGTAGAATGAGCAGGGCTTTAACTGCGGCAGAAAGAGGGAGGGAGGGAGATGAGTAAAAACTGTGCTCTCCTTTATATAGCTGTGGTTCTGACAGAGGGGGTTGGGAAATAAGATCTTACATATTCTTCAGTTTTATTGCAAACATGTGCCTCAGCTACTTTTTCTAGGAGCAGACTGACACTACTTTCTGTCTCATTCTTTTCTTTCTCTGTGATGGCTACTCTACTGAGCATGCAAAACTGCCTCCAAGCAGTAAATGGAAAAAGGTTTCTGCAAGGGGAGGGGAGCACACTATTATAATGTCCCTGTTTTGAATCCAGCTTCTTAAAGCACACGCCTCCTGGATTCGCTTTCCACTAGAGCTTTTTAGCACGAAATCACCCCTTTCCGAAGTACACGCTATCAGAATTGTGATCCCCACTAAGGCAAAGTGCCCATCTCAGTGTCTCCCGGTCTTTTCCATGCCATAAAACCACAAGGCAAGGTAGAGAATAATCTATTGGTCTCTCTCCTCCTCCCTCTCTCTCTTGTGGGAAGGCAGTGGGAGCCATTACCCTGTGCCTTAACGCATGACAGGGAGCACGTGAACTGTGCTAACACTACTCTCCAGCTGCAAAGGGGGAGAGAACAGAGGAGCTAACATGAACATTCAACTGCTGAGCCTTTTGCTCATAATAAGGTCCCAGTCTAGGTTCAAGGCTGAGGGAGCAAGACTAGGAGTTGTACCCTCATTACACCAAACAGATTTATCCAAAGCAACAGAGCAGATGGCGCTTCTGTTATTCTCCTGATGAAATCTGACTGTCTCCCTTTTTCTGTCTGTCCTTCAGGCTTGGAGTACTCAAACGCCAGCAAGAGGTTTGAGGCCTGCGAGGCTGCGAGAGAACAGTTGCCGTGTGACTGAAAAGAAGCTTGCTGCCTCTTTTGACTTCGGTGCCTGGGAGCTTGTGCCTGTTGCAAACATGCCTATCTTGAAGCAACTGGTGACAAATTCCGCTAACTCCAAACGCCGCTCTCGGGCAGATCTGACAGCCGAGATGATCAGTGCCCCGCTTGGCGACTTCCGTCACACCATGCATGTAGGCCGAACGGGGGATGCTTTTGGAGACACGTCCTTCCTCAACAGCAAGGCTGGGGAGGGTGAGCAGGAAGTTGCCGAGGAGGCGAGCTCCTCATCCAAACCGGGCCTGCTGTCACGCAGGTTCCGCAGCAGCAAGCGGTCTCAGTCCGTGACGCGTGGCGAGCGCCGCGATATGCTGGGCTCTCTGAGGGACTCGGCCATTTTTGTGAAGAACGCTGTCTCGTTGCCTCAGCTCACTGAGAAGGAAGCAGACAGGAGTGGTGGGAAGCAGCTGCCCAAGAGCCTCTCCTCGAGCCCTGTCAAGAAAGCCCCTGAGGAGAAGACCCCGGAAGAGAAGCACATGAATGGCGCTGCGGCGGCCCTCTACTCCGGCCCCCACAGTCCTGGCTTGGAGGAGCGGAACTTTGGCGACATAACTGACTTGCCCCTGGTCATCCCCAAGAGCAGTTACGGCATGAAGCATGCGGAGTCCATCATGTCTTTCCATATTGATCTGGGGCCTTCCATGTTGGGGGACATCTTGAGCATCATGGATAAGGACCCCTGGGAGCAAGAGGATTCTGGTTATCAGGGTGGAGAGGACCCACAAAGGGAGCCTGGCCCTGTGGAGGCCTCAGCAGCGCCCTGGCTGAGCCAGGAAAGCAAACTCCCACAGGATTCCTTGGTTCAGTACGACGACAACCGAGCAGCAACGTATAGTCCGGGCTCAGCCCGCAGCATCACGAGCCGCCTCACTATGGACAGCAGTTCTATCTCCAGCTGTGCATCTGTTGGAGAGGAACAGCGTAGCTTAGCCAGTAAAGGGCAGAACTTGCCAGAGGAATCCACAAAACAGCTGGACAAAGAATTCTCCTTCATGGATGAGGAAGATGATGAGATAAGAGTATAAGGAAGGTGACTGGAGCTATCTGCCTCTTTTGACTGAAGAACAGATAACTTGCAACTGATTCTGGAATAAATGGGGTTGCAGAAAAGTTGTACGATTTTGGCAACTTTCTCAGTCTTCAGTTTCACCACTATCATTCTCATAAACAGGCTGCTGGAGAAATAGGATACCACCATGCTCTTGAACCCCAGTTGGAGAGTAATCTGGGGAGGGTGATGAACATCAAACTGGAAAATCACTTTTAAATGGCTCGTTTATATTTAAGATAATCTAGGCAACTCCAGGATCAGATAGAAATAAAGAAAATTGCTTGAGGATATTTGGAAAAACATTCGTTCCCAGGAGAACTCCAGAGTAATGGGTTTTGTTTGTTTAAAGAAGAGATTCTGGTTAATTTATGTACTGCCTGTTTAAAGCAATATAGAGCTGAATACTAGAACAAAGCTCAAAAGCACTAGTTTCTCTAGTAATATATTTTTCCCTTTTCATTTTTGCTAGTACTCTTAAGGGCTTTTTCCCTACTGCAGAGGAGATTGCCATTCTGGACCTGGAGAAACACTGAAAGACTTTGCATTTTTGTAGAGAGGAAAAACCCAGGAACCTTTGAAATAACCAGATTCTCCATATCTGCATGTTTGGATGCTGACAGCTATCTCCCTGTGGGCAGGCCTCTGGGAAAATCTACAAACTTTGGAATCTGGGCTTGAAATTTCCTAATTTTTTAAAAAAAGTATTGCTGACAGAACTATTTGAATAACACAAATGGGGATGGGAGGAGTGGAGAGCACCACTATCACCATCTGCGTCACACTGCGATCCTCTTTCTGGTCTACTGGGAGGCAAAATATGAGAACAGTTCAAGGTGCTAGCCCTTCTTGAAACAGACTGCTTATACCGCCCACACCCCCAAACACCCCCCCCCCAAATGTGTTGCCCTTGGTGGTGATCATGTGGATATCTCTCTTAAGTGGAGTATTCTTGGAGACACTTTGCTTATGTAAAATTGTTTAGAATTATCCAGTGAGGTGAATTGCAAGAGTAGAAGTCAGCCTAGTTGCCCCAGCATTGAAGAGAAGGCAAGATTGTTCTCGGCCCACTCTGTCTCCAGGCTCTTCCTTTGGGTGTTAAGAGGATGGGATGTCCTGAGAGATGTTGGGGTTGCTAGGGCAACCTGTTGGGAGGAATGTGGCTTCTTTGCATGTCTACAGATGTAAACTGAAAGTTCCAGAAGTAAACAAATCTGATGCAGCTTCATCCTTTCTCAGTTGAGACTAGAATATCAGCAAAGCTGACAGAAGCACAAAGAGCTTGGCACACCCTGTTCCAGGGACAATGGAGGAGACTACATTGCTCAGTTCCTCCCTTTTGAAATTGCTTTCGGGACCTCCCTTTGCAGTATAGATGGGTGGTGTGCCTTACATTCCCATCGCCTCCTGGCCCTCTTATATTTTTGCCTTGCTTCACATTTTGCTGGGCATTAAACACTAACTTTTGCCTTTTTAAAAAAATATAATTTTAACCTTTTGTTCAGACTGTATATTAGATCTGCCCACCCTTTGGGGAGTAGTGGCTCTCCCTCCCTTGGATTGTGACTTTGTTGCGTGTGTACAGGTGTTTGTTCAGTGCATTGGATGGAAGACCTTTTAAAGATGGCAGTATGTTTTAAAATGCAAAGAAATTAAACTATAGTAAAAAGGCACCTTAAATCTTCTGGGATATTTTGTTTTACAGGGATTGGGGGTGGCAGGGGGCTGCCAAGGGGCAGAGACTGAAGGCAAACCAGTAATGCAGTGGCTACACTCATTAGGAAATCAGGTAAAGTCTTGAGGAGCACAAATGTCATTTCGACCTTACGCCCCCCCTAAAGCGCAGTGGGTGGATACTGTCAGTCTGTTAGGCCAACATACCAACCACTCCCTTGCTTGAATTACCCCAGAGGATCCAGGCACTGGCTTACATTTTGGGGGAAGAGCAAGTTAAATGCAGATTCTCTTTCCTTTACCTCTCCTCACCTTTTGTTCTGTTCACAGTTACCTGCTGGTCTGGTCAGAACAACCATTTCTGTGGCCAAAAGGAAATTACTGGGCTAATGAATACTGTGTTTCATTGTATAACTTCTGTGTCCTGGCTCAGTGCAACACGTATGGACTTTGCTTTCAGGAGGGCCTCTAAATGTTTTGAACTACAGCTCTCTCACCAGCTGCAGCCACCCTGGACAATGGTTAGGGATGGTAAGTATTATCGTTCAGGACATCTGCAAGAATGGGACAGGCTCTTTTGTCATCCCGCAAATTCAGGAACTCTTTGAACCTCACATATTGCCAACAGTCAGTCCCACATGCAGAGAGAGAGAGTTCACACATCACACTAAGCAACAATTGGTTGTCCTTTCACTGAATAATACCACTTTCACTCCTGGGACACTAGCTTGCTGTGAGTTGTGTTCCCCATAATCCTCTCGCCTGCTACCAACACACATCTCGGGTGCTTTTGTGTCAGAATTCCTCATTCCTTCTATCGGCTCCTTGTCTGAAATTGGTCTTAGTGACTTGCAAGAGAAATTGCTTCCCCTGCCACCAGATTTGGAAAGGAAAATTCTCTGAGTCTGTATAACCATAGTAGTGCAGGTACAAGGTGGTGGTGGTGGTTTTTGGAGACTGCACCAGAGTATAAGATGACCCGTCAACTATTTTGCCCCAGTTCTGCTATCCCCCCACCTCTTGTCAATTTCATATTTTCATGGGACCCTTGTCTTGCTAGCAAACACCTCTCTTTTTTTAAAGGCTGAAATACTAAAGCAGTTACACCCATCCTACCCAGTTCCTTCTCCTGCAGCTGCCATAAGCTTTTGGATCCCCCATCCCCACTACATGTGTGTGGCTGCTTTCCATTTGCTGTCAGATGTACGTGTTACAGAGCAGTAGCAAGCATTGTTAAGACAAACATATTTTGAGGGAGAACAGTGAGGTAGATCTGCAAATTTCAGGACAGTGAAGCAGAGAGGGAATCATTCAGATTTTGTGGCAGTGGACCAAAACAAAGGTTGGGGAAAACGTGGTTCCCTGCTCTCTTGTTGTTCTCAAATTTTAGGAGCACAAGTGGAAGACATTGTTGACCTGAGGGAAGGTGGCAGTGGTTTCCACTCCAGCCATTCCAGGCAACCCCTGGTGACAAGCCACACTGCAGCAGCCCACGGCAACAACCTCCTGCAGTGAATCGGGTCGGGAGTATAGCCCCAGTCAGCACATACAACCCACCAAGGTAGACGCAGGCTGCTAATCCTGTATAAAGTCCCGCCAAGAGTTAGCTTCTCTCCTACTGCCAGCACCCTCATGTTTATTGTGAACAGCAAATTTACTGAGCTGCTTTGAATGGCTACTGGGTCACGGTCAGCATTATGTCTGCAGGTCACAGCTCATGTGTAACTTAGCAAGGCCATAGTCAAATTCAGGTCAGTAACTTGGTCTTCAGAAAGGCTTGCCCAGAGGTGGTTTCTCTGTTGCACTGCACAGGTGGCGGGTTTGTCCTCCCCAGTAGGATATGGACTTCAGGTTCCTTACAGTCCAAGCTGCCTCCCTGAAATGAGGCCAGGCTGCAAAATCTGTACCTTGACCATGTCCAGTCATTCTACTCCAGCCCTGACCTTTGCCTTCCTACTAGCTTGCAATTATCGTATAGGCAGCCTTGTTCCAAACAGAGTTTGTTCAGCAATGCTGGAAGCACTAGACACCACAGAAAATACAGAAACGTGCAGTTTCATAATTTTCTGTCCTGAGGGAATACTTATCTGAGCTTGGTGTCCATCTCGGCACTTCACATGGGACCTATTGTTATGCCAAAGATCATGTGAGTTGGTTTTCAGAACAATCCAGCAGGAAGCTAGTTTGGCTCTGGTTCCCCTTGCAGTGTGGCCGAAGTCTATGCCTGCTGAAGTCTGAAACGTTTGAAAACAAGCCCAGCATAAAATCTGAGATGTATTCTCATGCAAAACAACTAGCAAACAAGGTAGCTCAAATGTGAGGTGTGCAGAAGTCTGGGTGGCCTGGAACAATGCGCTCGTAGCAGTGTCAGGAGATACTGAGTCTTGCCTGCACCCCTCCAACTCGCTGGAGAATCCAAGCCCTGATGTACAAACAAGTGCATCCACGGACAATGCAGGATCTGAGACCCAGTACTCAATACAATAGAAATGCTAGTCTGGGACACTGACCCATTGTTCTGTGAAAGAAACAACAAGAGCGGCAGCTGGTTGGGGGAGGCCCTTACGCTCAGCCGAATGGCAGGTTCAGCCTTCTGTATCCTAAACAGCCAATGCAATGGTTTATAGCAGCATGGCCAGATAAAGGGGGAAGTCTTTATGCTTTAAATAAGCCAGAGAAGGAAGAAAGCAATGGAGTGCAGGCGGGGCTGGGCCTGGAGTTTTGAGGTCCTGTGAAAATATGTATGTGCTGGGTTTGATGCCCATGCCATGGGGCACTTATTCCCAGTGGACAACAGATGGTGTTCCTATTTGGGATAAATGAATACTGCTTTGCATCAATGGAGCCAACCTACTGGAAGGCAATAGATGTGCTCTCTGGTTTTCAGACTCAGTTAATTGTGCTCTACTTGTCACTGTGATGTCAAGGGATGGTGGGGGAAGCTAAGCTCCCGACCATCACACACACAAACTGGGGAATATAAGTAGGCAGCAGAGGACAAAGGGTTTTTTCACCTGTTCTTTCAAGGAGTGGGGGGTTTATCTGCATATTCCTCTATTACTCATGTGAAAGCCAGGACAAAGAATGTCACATGGTCATAAATGTGCAGAAATCTTTCTGTAGGAGCGCCAACAAAGAATGCCAACAACAAAGGAAGGCAGTTTCCACGATTCATCTCACAATAGCATTTCACTGTAAAACCATGTAGGAAAGGCTGTGTAGGAAATGTTACTTGGATCAATACCAGGCGTTGCCTTTGCCATGATGTTGGCCCATGTACCACCTATGTCCCTCCCTCCCAAGCAGTCCCTGGAAAAAATGCTTTCTTGGACGATAGTCCCTTTTTAAAGGAAACTGGGGGCGGGGGGGGGTTATACTGTTGCAAAGTGGGCCAAACCTGCTCTCTACCTTAGCTGAATTCCTACACAGGTGTCTTCAGTAGCAAAATACCATCCCCAGGCAGATGCAGAGAGCAGAGGTCTGCCATAACTCTAGGGGTCCTGGCAATATGAAGGCCCTCCAGGGGTGTTCTCAAGTGACATAGCCTCACCCCCTCCATGCACATCAAAACGTATGCCAAAATAAAAGTGCATTCAAGAGTTAAATATTGAAATAAAACCAGTTCCCTCCACTTTTGCAGACCATCTTACTTGGTTCAGAATATGGGCTTCCACCTTCTCTTGTTCAAGAACTTAGATGAGAAGCTGCATAATTTTTTTCAGGGCAAAAATTCCTAAAGAAGATTTTGAACTTAACACAAAATGCTTTGGGAGGAAAGCAGAGCTTTGTGGTTTGTTTTTGTGATTAACAGTATGTGGACAGTGACTGTAACACTCACCTTGCAAACACAAGTCCCTTCTCTACATTTTTCTGAGAAGCTCAACTCCCAGCATAAGAGTGGCCTCAGGCAGGAGGTCACATCTAATACCCCTTGGGAACATGACGTGCTGTTGGAACTGTGGTTCTGTCTGGAAGCAGCTGAAATGTACCAGAAACTGCCTGTGCCATCAGTCCAGAATTAGCCTGGAAGCACAAAGCGTGTCAGTAGAACCCCTTCAATAAAATACGTCATGGCTGCCAAAGCAGCAAAGCAAAAGCTAGGACTCCTATCACAGCTCCTTTACTGCTCTGTTTCTCTACTTGCCACATCCCAAGTGTTTCGGCCCTTCCATGAAGCATCCATCTCTAGTTTTGCACAGGAGAGAAGACACAAACACTCATCTCTAGTTTTGCAGTGGAAAGGCTAATTAGCACAACTGAACATCTTCAGTGAACAATGACCATACTGGGACTGGGGCATTTGGTTTTGGATGAGAAGTCTAAAGAGCGATACGAAGAACTTTTCCAGGCAACTATGTTGTCCCAAGGACATCAATAGCCTCCTGATACTTGGAAATGTGGGCCATGGATGACACTAGGAAGTAAGAGGGGATTGTTGGCAAGGAGACTCATCACCATAAAGCACAAGAGCAGTAATCTTGATCTTCCTAGACACCTGTCATCTCCAGTCTCTGCACTGGCAGCACCAACTTACTGTAGGTTGACAGAGCAGAAAGCTTGCTGAGCAGGCAAGTCATTGGAGCACCGCTCTAAATAATGATGATGATAAAAAAATGGGAATGCTGCTTCAGACCCCAGCAGGGGGATAGATGACATCCCATGCTGAATGCTCAGTCATGAATGTAAAGTAAATGCTGTTCAGAAAAAATGCAGATGCCTGGCCCACTTTTCAGGAGTGCAGAGAGGAGTTCTACTTTGCAAGCGAACCAAGAGATCTCTTGCCACACATTGGGTGACTGTGCTCTCGAACCCCAGAAAACTCCAGGCACAATCCAGCCAAATTTAAGAATTTGTTGAAGTCCCAATGATTTAAAAGGGAGCACTGAACACATTTTAACACCTCTCCTGTTGAAATAAGTGGGTGTTAGAATGGGCTGACTTTGAACAAGCTGTTTGCTCTTCCTTGTGAATAAATACACCCTAATTTAGCTCAGCTGTGTAATTTTG